GAGAGAGAGAGAGAGAGAGAGAGAGAGAGAGAGAGAGAGAGAGAGAGAGAGAGAGAGAGAGAGAGAGAGAGAGAGAGAGAGAGAGAAGAGGAGGACGTCAAAAGAGAGTGGCAGAGGCATAGAGAGAGAAAAAGAGAGCAAAGAGCGTTTGACGGACGTTATTCGAGACCCATAAAATATATAACCGTAGAAGTAAATTTCCTCTTCTTCCAATTCAAAAGTATCTCAAATTTAACTAAATGTTTCCTCCTCCTCCTCCTCCTCCTCCTCCTTCTCCTCGTCTTCTTCGTCTTCGTCTTTGTCTTCGTCTTCGTCTTCGTCTTCGTCTTCTTCTTCTTCTTCTTCTTCTTCTTCTTCTTCTTCTTCTCCTCCTCCTCCTCCTCCTCCTCCTTCTTTCCAGAAACGATAGACAGTCGTGACATGATTACTGTAAGCAACAGTGTTTGACCTTTGAAGTTTGAACTGCTGCCTTATCGTTGTTCAACCTATTAGCTGTGTACTTGCTTGAGGTAACAATGAGGTACTGCTCCTCGACCAGCATTCTTTGACAATTGCTTTGTCGTCACTCTCCGACCTGGCTGCTTCTGGCTTCCGTTTATCCGTTTAATTTTGGTAATTGTATCTTCTGATTCATTTTGATTCTTTCGCTCTTTCCTGCCTCCGTCCTTGTTTTTGCTGTGGCTAGATCTCATTCCTTGTGTGCATTTTTGTGTGCCTCATGAGGACCCAACTGGGCTGTGCACTCTGCTGGAGAGGGTGCTGCATTCTATTGCTTTTATGCTCTGTTTTTCTGAATGGATGGATTGATGAGTATGCATAAGGCTTGGAAACGCTTACGAGTGTTATCGGTGATGGTGCAATTGCGCAGGTACTATTCTGTCCTCCTTAGGTTTTTGCAGTCTGTTTTGTCAGAGGGAACGACAGTCCAGGAAACAAACGTAAGTTGAGTTTTATAGCCCTCTGCCATGAGATCTCTGCACTGCATTTTTTGTACTAAGGGCAAAAAGGGGAGGACAAGGTCATTTTGAAGAGATCTCTCTCTTTTTTTCTTGGACAATTTCTTGATGTGTGCACGGCATCTTTGTGCATAGGGGCCATGGTAATCTTCTTTGCAATGTTCTGATGCCGTCGGAAGTTCTGAAGCACGGCCCTCTTTTTGTCGTCGATTTTGCAACGGACTCTCGTTTTCCTTTCCTTTCTTGACGTGGAAGAGATTCTGGAAGATTATGATGCTAAAGCGTTCAAAGCATGCATGGAACAAAAATGCACACACAAAGAAAAGGGGTGATGTTGCATTGAAGTATATGTTCTTTTAAAATAACAAAGCAAGAATGGGAGGACTGGTGAAGCAGGGGTGGGGCAGTGATTAATCCTCTCTTTAAACCACCACTACCTCTGAGTGCTGAGGTGGAAAAGAACTGCGGGCCAAGCTTGTGGAAGCGCCAAGCTGGCACTTCCTGGTAGCGCCCGGCCTTGGGAGTTTGCCGAATGATTCATTTTGTTGTTTCGGCGTTGCCTGTGAAAGGTAGTTGTGGTTTAAGGAAGCAATCAAGGCCACTGTCTCACGGTTCGTCAACCCTAATGGACGGAAGCAAAGAGTGGGTTAAGGGATGCTGCTGGACCCGTTATCCATCTATGCCTTTTTTTTTTAATAATATATATATATATCGTATATATATATTGTCATATATATATCTGTTTGTGACGATATATATATATATATATATATACTCTTACTAAAGCGTGAGCGGGTCTCACGCAATGCCCCCGGGAGACCTGGCTGCCAGTCTTGGGTAAACGCTCGGGACAGGGGGGCCGGGCCCAAAAGAAACTGCATGTGAGTGTGGTGCGGCGGAGTCATGTGTTCGAATACAAGTACATAGTGCAGTGACGTTCGACATTTTTTTTTTTTCTTTTTTCGTTGGGTTTTTCAGGTTTCAGCAGATTTGTGCTTCTATTTTCTCTAGATTCCGTCCTTTTTTGTTCTTTTCTGAAAGCATCTTGCGTGGCGGCATTTTTTTTTTTTTTTTTTTTTTGTGTTTGTTTCTGTGGCACCCTTTCGAACCACGCAGGGCGCTGTTTTGTTTGGTTTTCGACTCTGGCGCTTTTGCAGAAAATATGACGGTGTATCTTTCCATGTTGTGATTTTTTTTTTTGCCCCCGAGTCGCATGTGGGCCTCTTAGCATTCATGTCCCATTCCCATGTGGGCCTCTCAGCACCCATGTCCCACTCACGTGCAGGCCTCTCAGCACTCATGTCCGAATAGAAGTACATAGCAGTGCCTTCGGGTGTGTTTTGATTCAATGCACAAAAGACAGAAAATATATGAAACTGCTTTGTTGTCAGCATCTGATGCATGCTCATCTGAAGATGAGTGATGCACATGTCCAATGAGAGCCAGCATGGTGAACAGGACTCAGAACAAAACGATATAATGCAATGTAAAGCAGCGGAAGACTCAAAGATATGACCTGACACGTCAGACCCGGACTCGAATGACACAGTCATCATCACACATGTCAAACAGCAAGGACAGGAATCATACATAGAAGAATGGTCCCTCCTGCGCACACACATGGGGAAGAAACGACGGATGATGAAGGGGAGGAGAGACGGCTGTAGCGCTTCGAGATGTCGTTTAGTCGTCTGTCCCCAGAGATGGAGAGGGGAGAGGAGTCAAGAGTAGAACTCGTAGTCGGCCAAGAAATAGTCTCCCCGTCAAATGTCCAGCCAATGTCCGTCCTCAAAAATGTCGAACCGGATCCTGGGCGCTCATAGGCCCGAAATAATCACTGCCTGAAATCTCTCTCTCTCTCTCTCTCTCTCTCTCTCTGTCTCTCTCTGTGAAGAAGAAGAGGAAGGAAAAAGAGGGAGGAGGAGGAGAAGAAGAAGAACAGTGGCTACGGAGGAGCGGAGAAGAATCGTGAGAAGAAGGAGAAGAAGAAGAACTCTCCTCTCTTGCGCTCTCCTGATGACGATGCCATAAATACTGACCAGCGAAGGTGATGACTCCCAATGCAGGTCGCTGCTGAAGGCCGGTCCGATGACCGGTATCAAGTCCCAGCTATGGTGCCCAGGTAAGTGTCTCTCTCCCTCGAGGACATGGCCTCCGCCAACCTCTCCACTCCAGCCTTCTCCTCTACTCCTCCAGCGCTGCTTTATTGCAGCTTTTCCCCAAACTGGCGCTGCTCCAGCAGCATGACGCCCGACTGAGGCTCCAGCCCGAATGTCCCCAAAGTAGGGAGGATTGGCCCAGCTATATACCGCTGGGCCTGGCTGAGCAGTCCTCGGTTTGCAATCAGGACTGTCGGATATGATGTCCGATCGATGGTCCTGATCGCAGGCCCAAGTCCTGGTCCTACGATCCTGGCCAAAACGGCCTGCCTGGGTCCCTACCGGACGTCCAGGCAAGCGGGGTCCTGATGACTGGGCCAGGCACAAACAGACGAATGCCTGGTCCAGTCCCACATACAGACAAATCTGAACCTGGCCTGCAATGGCCGAAACTGAAATCCACTGGTCCTAACACGCATCTGCCCCAACCGACACATCTGAAACAGAAAAATAGTCCAGACAAAACCCAACAAAAATAATAACTGCTGAATAAAGGAGAGCACACGTGGAACCAAGTGTGTGCCTGGCCTGGAAAATGGCCGTGGGCCTCCAGGTTGCTCACCAAAAATGGGTGCGAGGCCTCGGGGCCTGGAACAGCCGTCGGGCCCCAAAACAGGGCCCGTGTAGCGGCCTCAGCATGCTACAGCACGTGTATCCTGTTGGGCCTTGGCTCCAGCACTCACCGAATGTGCAAAATGAGAAAGAATGTGCCGCTAGAAGCTGGGATGAATCTCCCGTCAGAACATGGGAAGATACACTGCTGCTTTTTTTGTTTGGGGGGGCGTGGCCTCGTGGGTGCAGCGGCTTAGGGTGTAGACTCCTTTTTTCTGTCTTTTCCGAGAGGCGTTGGTCTTGGCTCCAGCATTCACCAGATGTGCAAAAAAAGAATGAATCTCCCGTCAGAACATGGGTTTTTGTTTTGGGGTGCCCTCGTGGTTGCAGCGCCTCAGGGCATACTCGCACTATGAATCTCATAGCCCCTTAGTGCATACACGCACTATGAATCTCCCGCTAGAACATGGGGAGATGTACCAGTATATTTCTTTTCCTTTTTGGTAGCCCGAGTAGGGCCTTGGCTCCAGCACTCACCAAATGTGCAAAATATGAATGAACCTCCCGTTGGAACATGGGAAGATACACAGCTGTTGCTTCTTTTTTGGGGTGGCCTCGTGAGTGCAGGGGCTTGGGGCATGGTGTTTCGCGCAGGCCTCCCTGCCCTCCCTCCCTGCCCCATCTTCTTCACCGCAGCTTCGCTGCGGCGGGGTCCCGTTAGAACAGGGGAAGATACAGAGCTGTTGCTTTTTTTTGGGGGTGGGCTTGTGAGTGCAGGGCTTTGGGGCATGGTGTTTGGTGCAGGCCTCCCCGCCCTCCCTCCCTACTTTGTCCCGTCTTCTTCGCTGCTGTGGGTCCACTCGTTAATTTAAAGGAAGGACTGGTGGAACAGACTGAAAGAATGCAAGCCAAGGTAATGGCTTCAGAAGAGGGTAGTCTGGGTGCCTACGGCCAACGCCTACCGTAGGCTGTAGGCGCGCCTACCGGTCGGGCTGACCTGTAGGCGGTTTGCCGACCGGTCGGCACACTGCCTCACACTTTTTTTCCTTCTTCTGAGTACATGACTGTTCTTGCTTGAGCAGAACAGCCCAAATCCGCAATAAATCTTTTGCTTTGGGGGGGTTGGGGGGGGGAAGAGTGAGGGAGGTTTGGGGGGTGTTGGGAAGGTGTTGGGCTCAGGGGGGATTCAGGGGGGGGGGGGGGGGGGGGGGGGGGGGGGGGGGGGGGGGGGGGGGGGGGGGGGGGGGGGGGGGGTGGGGGGGGGGGGGGGGGGGGGTTGGGGGGGGAGTGTTCGGGGGGTGTTTGGGGGGTTCTGTGGGGGAGGTTCTGGGGGTGTTTGGGGGGAAGAAGAAGAAGGAGAATAAAAAGGAGAGAGGAAGAAGAGAAAAAAGAACAAGATGAAAAAGATGACGATGAAACAAAGAAGAAGATGAAGGCGAAGGTGAAGAAGTGAAACAAGAAAAGAGAAAAGGAAAAAGAGAGGCTGTGCTTCCTTCCCTCTTCTATGACATGGTGATGCGGTTTCTTCTAGCGGCAGTGCCACGAGGAGCAACATGAGAGTTACATCTTCTCTCTGGGAGGCACCACCATGACGCCCGCTGGAGGGCCACAAACCGGCACTCTGCAGAAGTGGGAGCAGCAGAATGGTGAGACTTGCTGCTCTGCTCTCTCTTTTCTTGACGGTGGGCAGCTTCTGGGTGCCCAGCCTGCCAGGCAAAGCCGGCTCTTGAGGCCGATGACGCTCCAAGGGCCCGGTAGGACCCCGCAATAATTTGTCGTTTTCGTGTGGGGTGCCTACCGGTCGCCTGCCGGTCGGCGCTGACCGGTCCTTCCGTCGGCAGGTCTGCAGAATTGTATACATATCACATTGAGTATTATTGGAGCTTTCCTCCTCCTCTCCACTTCTTTTCTACCTATGTCTCTTTTCTGGTTACTCACTGCTGAAGTTTGATACTGTATTGTGTAAATGGGACTACATGCATGATTCTTCTGTTGAAAGCTTCTTGTGAGTTTTGGGTTCATTTTGTTATCGCTCTTATGAGATCTAATTATTTGGTGATGATATCTAATCAATGTAATGATTGTTATCCCATTGATTATGACACCTACTCAATCGACTCAAGCTAGTTATGAAATCTAACCATTTAGTTATATGCTTGTTTGTCCTGCAATGTGGTGGCACAGGTTCTCGGTCTGGTTGTAGCGCTTCGTCCATTTCTTCAGTATGGGCTTCTACAGGGCCGGCAGGGTTTGCTTGGAAGGCAGGCGAGGTCACCCCTTGCAATAACTGCCAGCAATATATTGAACTCGAGAATTGGGGGTGCTTCACAAGTCTGTGCTACTGCTGAGGGAAACCCAGTGCTGGGTGTTGAAAGTGGCGGTGCGAAATGTCATGATACTATGCTTGAAGACAGGAATGCCAGCAGAGGAGACGAGCACCCACTGACAACTTCACAGACCGCACCTTGCAGTGATTCCTGGCTGAAGAAAAAGACGAGCAGTGATGATGGGAAGGTGGCGATTGGATGTGGGACAAAAAGTGGGGCATATGTCCCACCGCATTTGCGTGGCGGAACAGGGACAGCAAAAGATGCTGCTTTGGCAGGTAGCCGCCAATCTAATCCTGAAAGATTGTTCACAGCCGGTGGGCAATGCCCTCAAGAACTGGAAGTTGGAATTGACAGGGTTGTGGATGCTTCACCAGATGGATCTCTAACCTCAAGGGTTGTCGCTTTGTCTCATGAAGAAGGGGCTTTGTTCTCATCAGATTCAGATCTGAGTGACAACGACGGCGGAGATGGTGATCGCTTCAAAAGTTCGAAGACAAGAGTAAATGCACTCTTTTGTATACAGGTACTTGTTTCCATTGTTTCTGTTTGCTGTATGGCTCTTCAGTTGAAAGTGAATCTTCTTCTTCTTCTTTGTTCACCCAAAAAAAAACAAGCCCCTTGTATTCTGGGGGGCGTCAGTCCGGTTGCTCAACACCGGCAAGCAGAGAGAAAACAGATAGATTGTCGGGCAGACTGATAGTACAGCCCGTCAAACCCGCGCCGCCCGAGATGCAGCATGGGGGGGAGCTGAGGAGGCCTATCGAGATGGCCATCCGCTCATCCTCGTCCTGGGGCACATGTAATTGCTGGGAAACAGATCTATGTATCCAGATGTCCATTACACGTGTCCCAGGAGGGGAGGGCCCGGGTATAATTCGAACTTTGGGGTTATTAATGATGCTGGTTCGCACATATATGTGCCCGGGTACGAGTTTTATGCCCTGGGCAGCGCAAAGTCGAAAAGAAAAATAAAATAAAAAAAATCGATTAGCAACTATAATGTGTAGAATTGCAATGCAAAGAACTTTTGGCTGAGGGTCACCTCAGAATCCAGTACTGGATGTGAGCAAGTCCTAGGGTTTGGGATGAGAGTTTGAAAACACACACTAGCTCCAAAATTAGGCGTCCGAGTTAAGAAGGCCGCCGTTCTTCCCAGGCAGATATTGCATTGAACAATGAACATCCAATTTCCAGAGGCTCGTCTGGCAGCTGAGGGAGTGGTGGTGAAGGGTTTACAACTTTACGCTTTACGGTCAAAATCACAGAGTCTGGTGATTGTGGTTTAGGATCTGTAGGGTTTATGGTTCATTCCTTATGGCATGAGCAGTCGCCGCTCTCGTACCTCTGGATGCCAATGGTTCAAGGCCATCGGAAAGGTAGCATGCCTATAAGTGGCATCGTGGAGGGAACATTTGGCAGGTCTACGCAAGGTAACAGGTCTTTGCCCATGGTAATGGTAGTCGTTATAGCTGGACTTCCAAATTGCCTATCAATGAAATGAAAATGGATCCTCCTAGAAGCAAGCAAGGAACAACCAAGGAGAGGAAGTCGTGCAGTCATGTAGGCACCACTGAAGAATTGTGGCAATCAGCAGTTGGAGGTTGAGTGGGAGAAAATGACATGATTCGCATTTAATGTAGAGTGTGGACAGTCAATAGCTGATAAGCTTTCCATTTGATATGCTCTGGGCCTTGGTGTACTGGATGAAGGTCAAATGACAGAGTGGGTATTTTTTCACGGTGTACTCGTCTGGACGGGTATTGTAGTGTGGACCCGGTGGGTCAATTACTTGTTTATTATTGATTAATTAAATTTATTATTTATATTTTTACTACCGAACGGCCGACGGTACTGATGAGCATGCTGCATTCTCACAGGCGATTGCTCGAGTTCATCCTAAATCTCTACATTCCTGTTGGTCGATCCTTCTGCCCACAGATGGGGTGTTACACTCAAGGTAATTCCACCCCATGCCCACCCCCCTCTGTGCCTGTGATTCCTTTCGTCAATTCACCCCACAAATGCACTAACCCACCCACCCAAACACACACACATGCACAAAGAGAGAGAGAGTTGGGGATTCTTTTGAAAACACGCACCCACACACAAACACACACACACACACACAGCTGTTGTTTTCTTGAACATCTGTCATCCAATTTTTTGTCCTTTTATTTTGTACGCATGCACTCCTCTACCATTACAACCCTCACAAATCTTTTGCTGTTGCTTTGTTTAACTTTTGCCGTCCAATTTTGTTTACTTTTTTTTGTTATGCATGCACGCACCTCTACCTTTGCTGATTGGCATATGTCTTATTGTTCCCCCTATTTGTTACCGGATAGGGCAAGGGTATCCAACTGGTCAAAAACAGCAAACTGAAAAGTATTTACAAGTGCTCTTATGTTTTCGTTCTGTTTAATTAAGCCTGTGCGTGCCGAAAAGACATATGCCAGAAGGCCCAGAAGTGGATATCTGCGATTTCTTTTTGAAAATTGGAAAGGACTCTGTCATTTATCAGGGCTTCCTTTGTGCTGGGTAAATCTCAGTGTTTGAAGCATGTATGTTTTGTTTTAGTGTTGGACATTTGTTAGAATTGGAACGATACAGGGAAGATTAGCATGAGCCCTGCGCAATGTGATCACACATAAATAGAGAAATGGTATTGAAACCACAACTACTTGCCCAGCCAAAACGAGCACCTGTAAATGTATATTTCCGGAAGTTTCCGAAGCTTGAGATTACCGGAACGCAATGTACTAAGGAAAATCATGAAGTTTTGTTTATTGTTGTGTCAGGCTCTTTTTCCTGAATTCAGTCCTTACGCCTTGCTGAATTGAAAAGACATTGTTGATAATCTTTTGTGGGCCGAATGGTGAAAGATTCCCTCCAAGACTGAGTGTCGTGAAATGAAGCTTTCCTGCCGGCGTAGCTTCTTTTGATGATGACCTTTCTGCTTCGCATGCTTATGATTTTTGCAGGCCTCAGCAAGGTACTGTTGTAGCGAATATGCTTTTTGACCCTGTACCAAAGGTAGGACTTCGATGCCCTATGTTCTGCATTCATCCATGTGGTACACTCCTCCCTATGACCATCTCGGGTATGAGCTCTGAGGACTAGGTACAAACTGTACAGTTAGGATCTTCAGGGATCGATCTTAGAGTCACTGTTGCACTGCCACTGTTGGGTGGTGGTCGGCTTTCAGAGCAGGACAACCTGAAAAAGACATGAAAGAGAGAGAGAGTTTAGAAAGGAACTAAACTCCATCCCCACCTTCTCCTTCTCATTCTCCGCCTCTCCTCCTTCTCCTCCTCCTCCTCCTCCTCCTCCTCTTCCTCTTCCTCCTCCTCCAGTGTCTTCTTCTTCTTCGTACTGCTCTGCTCCTTCTCCTGACCCTGTTTCTTATTCGTCTTTGTCTTTTTCTTTCTTCTCTCTTCTCTTCTTTCTTCTTTTTCTTTCTTCTTTCTTATTTTTGTCTTTGGCTTGGACGTACAATGGTGGTCAGAGTTCCCGGTTGCCTCCTTCCCTCTTTTTCTCTCCCTTAGGGAGGTCCTTTCCGATCCTCATCCCGATCCGTTGTTTCCCCTCTTCCTCCCCTGTTCCCCAACTCCTCAGTTCATTGGCAGTTGATTGTTGTGATGACTATGGTTCTAGGGGAATCTGACAATTCAAAAAACGATTCTGCTGCCTGTCTCGTGTGGAGGCCTTCTTGCAAGGGACTACGGGATGGTCAGCAGAATGCTGATCTGATCTGGCAGGCGCTCAGCTCAAGCTGCTTAGGTCTAAACGGTAACCTGTTGGGATGATTGGTTAGTGGCAATGCTGGCTTTTAAAGACTTGCGACTGGTTCGTGCAGATGCCTGAGGGTGTGATTGGCAGGTGGCAAACAGTATGGAAGCTGAAGATGAATTTTATTTGGACTGTCTCATGGACTGCACTGAACGGATTGATTGGTGGACCGAATCATGTCAAGTGACTATGCATAATAAAATCAGCAGAAAGGGAGCTACCATCTGTCTTAAAGGGACACAAACACCTTTGTTGTATACCCCTCGGCAGAACCCCATCAGCGGCCCATTGGCAGCCTGGTATACCATCTATAACACTGGTGTAGGATTTGACCCTCTGTTGAGTTTTCTGTACAGATTGTCAAACCCCGGGAGAACATCTTATCCCCTTGTTATACCCCTTGAGGCAGTGGTTATCTTCTGTGACAGGCAATGGGTTAGGGCAAAAGTCGACCTGTGGCCAAGAAGGGTGAGTTTGGCAGTAGTCGTCCTGGATTTGGTAGCAGTTTGAAGGAACCATGCATTTGTCTTTTCGTACGTATTATGTAGCCATCCAATGCAAAAAAGCAACTTTCGCTCTTAGGGAAGCCTTTGTGATGACTGTGGTGTTGGTCTTCAAAGTTGTGACGTGTTCATTCTCTTCGCTCCAGGTCCGTTGTGCTGCGGCAAGTGTCCTTGCAGCGATGCTGGATGGACCTGCACGTATTTTTCTTCAAGCGGCAGAATGGAAAACATTAGCTAGGAAACAACAGCCTTTCACAAGCTTGTCATCGACACTTGGTCAGATTGTTGTTCAGCTTCACACAGGTAACCATTGTTACGGTAGAGCGCCCCCCTCCCCCTCCCCCCACACCCACCCACCCACCCACCCACAAAAGAGACCACCTTTATTGCCATTCCCCTCCCTTTTTCTCTTCAGTGTTCTTCTTCTGTTTGATTTGTCATACCAGGCTCTCTCCTATTTTCACCACTTTCCTGGAGTATGTGCGAAATGCCCCCTTCCCCCCCCCCCCCCCCCCCCCCCCCCCCCCCCCCTCTCTTTCCCCCTCCCTTTCCCCCCATCTCTCTCCTCCTCCCTGCCCCCTCTCTTTGTTATGTATGCATGTGTAGAAACATTGTGTAGGCACCCGTTCTCTCTCCTTCATTCGGCATCCAGAATAGCTCTCATCTTCACAGTCATTCTCACAATTTGTAGGTCATCATCTCCCCTCCTCTCATCTTCGCCACCTTGTCAGTGCCAAAATGTCAAGTACTATTTCCCTCTCTCTATCTCCTCCATACTGTGGGCCCGCAGTCCCTCAAGTCTTCCAGGTAATGTTCTAAGTGTGCATCTAAACTGGGAGCAAGTGGGTCTAGCTATGTGGCGGCAACGCCAGCAACAGCATGAAGGACGTGCAATGGGTGATCTGTCATGAATACATGTTGAGCTCAGGTCTGTTTATCAACAATTACATGGCTGTACCCGTCAGCCACATGGGCTAGGTATATGTTCTTCTGTTTGACAACAGGGAAGCCTGTTTTTTTCCTTTTTTTGACCTCCAGCAAGCTGGGCCAATCCCCGTTCCATCCGTTCAGACAGGAAAGAAAAGAACCTTAGGAATCGGCTCGCTAATTGAACGAACCAACTGAAAAAGGGCAGGCCTCCGGAAACCAGAGCGGTGGTTGTGCAAGGTAGTGGTGGTTTTATCACAATTCCATCGTCTAATGCTATCGATGATGCCTCACGAGTTATTGAATTTGCCAACAGCCACTCCTCTCAGCTGTTCGTATGCTGCACTCATGCTTAGCGGGAGGATAGATGTCCGAAATTCTCAGAATCAGGTCTAATTCTTGATGTTGGCTGTAACTACCTTGACTGGGGAACCTCCAATTTCAGAATCCGAAGAACAAAACTGAACGGAAGTATGGTTCTTGTCTACGACTGACGAAGCTTGGATGACTGGTCTGCTCTGATTGAGTCCAGGGCTGCAGTATGCCATCAAGAATGAGACGCATGTGCCAACCTTGACCGGTGTTCTAAGGGCGCTCTCTCTCCTTGTGTCGGCTTCTCCGTGAGTAATTCCTGCCTTGCCAAGCCCTCACTTCCCACATGGCTGGCCACTCCATTCCTTTGCAACAGTTGTCCTCTGTCAAGCCCGCCACTCGCTTCCCTTGCGATAGTTATCTCCTCTGTCAAGCCCACCATTCGCTTCCCTTGTGACCGTTTTTTTTTTTTTTTTTTTTTTTTTTAATTTATTTAATCAGGACCGTTTCTCGATTTATGCGTGTCATTATCCTCTGCCAATGAGTAATCTTCATCTGCCAGTTACCCTCTGTCAAGCCCGCCACTCGCTTCTCTCATGGCTGTTATCTTCTGCCAATTTGTAGTCTTCACAACAAGACAAAAAGCCTTAGGACCATAGTTGCGGCGCACCTCGGTGCCCGGATTTGCGCACGAATTGCGCACCGCGCGCAGCGCACTGGAAAAATTAGGTCCACAAAAAAAAAGAGAGAGAGTAGGGGTTTTGTAATTTCTTAGGGCCCCCAACTCGGCAAAAATGTTAAGCTCACCGCACGAGCTCAGAAACCGGCCGTACCCCCAGCTCAAATTTTCTTTTGGGTAAGGGCTGCCAAATTTCGATTTCTGCAGGCCCTTTGCCCAAAAGTTTCAAAATGGCAAAGCATGAAATACTTAAAAAATAGGGCTCATTCCATCTTTTTTTTGAGGCGGGGTATGAAAGATGTTCTTCCCGCTCCCTTCTGCAAATCCCACACAGTGGTGGGGTAAGTTCGCAAGAAGGGGTAATCGCCTGGTACGACCTGCCCCGCGAAGCTTCGCAGAAATCACAAGTTGCGTTTTCTACGGCCAGCCGACCACCAATATATGCTGAAGATTGGCGTTCAGGTCTGCATGTCGGCAGTTATGGGTTAGGATGAAGATGCCCGTGGCTCTCT